TTTCCTATCCTTTCTGGCCTTGAGTGTCGCTTTTTCTCAGTAGCTTCGGATGTTTTACATCCCAGTATCTTTGCATTTTGGCCTATAAAAATAGAAGTAAGGTCATTCTTGTTGAGAATACAATATTAACAAAGTATAAACATTTCGAATATTTGAAAAAAATACTTACTTAGAGGACCTTGAGGAACGAAGTTGCAAGAAAATAAACCATCTCGAAGCAAGATTGAGTCTGATCACCTCTGCTCTTTGCTTAACTTCTGAAGCTACTTCGCCAAGGACATAATGTGCCAAAGGAAAAATGGGTAGGAAGAATGTAAGATCATTAGAAAAAGAACCGTGAGTCCTAGGACAGCACAATGTAAGATCAGACTTTGGCCGCCATAATTTAAGGGACATCGTGATTAATAAATCCCTGCTACACTATCCAACCTCACCACCAACCACTCCCATTAAGACATGTGGTAGTCATGACATCAGCACCTATTTTTCAACTAATTACAAGCAAGCGATGATTATCCAGTGTCAAGTCATCATTACCTGTCGACACAGTTGAGGCATAGACACCATGATGACCTGCTTGGCCAACCTAATAAACCAATTAGGAATCCAGAATTTCAGGCAGTGGCACACATGTTTAGGTTGATAATGTAGTTGAAAAATCCTTGAGCGGGCATGTGGCTTGGGTTTTTGTCCCATAAATAGGGCCAAATGGTTTACCCATCAAGGAGAGAGTTAAGATACCTCTCTAAAAACACTCCCAAACAACTTTTCTCAAAGCAAATATCCTATATTCGGTATATAATTTCCGTTTATGTTGATCTAATTTTGTCACATCATTTTTAGTCATCAACTAGTGTGATTAAAAAGTATCGCAACTAAATGAAGTTGTGTTAGTAATATAATTACCACATACAAGTTTAATAAAAAAATAGAAATTACACATCATAAAAAGTGTTGAAACATGAGAATGGTATGTATATTGACACCATAATTTTTATTTGTCGCATCACAATTTAATTGCAGTAAAGGTCGTCAACCTTTTCTCATTACTGCACTTATGTCCTTAACTCTTATTTCGTGCTATTTTTATCATTGACCTTCTATTAATTGATATATATTGTCCATGAATGAGGTGTGAAACAGGTTGAGCCACTCAGGCTCTGCTCATCTTGGCTTAGTTCATGGACTGTTCGTGTTCGTATTCAGATGAGTCATGGTTCGAGCTGAGCTCAATTTTTTTATGAGAAAAGTATATAGCTAGCGTGTAAGCTATGTCCATGAGTTGGTTCATGGGCTATATGATCGTTTTGCCCAAAGGTCAATTTTTTTTAAAGGGTCACTTTATATGTATATACCTTACCCACTTCATTTTTTCCATACAACTCCACCTTCTCAATCTAAAATTGTTATAACTTATAAGCTCCATATTTAGCTCTTTTCTTGATTTATTTGAGTTTTATGTCTATTTCTAGTATAAATTTTTATTATTCTATCTCTCTTTTTATATGTTTTTCCAAATGGACTATATCAACACGTTGTCTTTATCTTCAAACTTCACATTAACTCGATTCAAAACACAATGATCTATGTGATTACATTGATATGTTATCTCAAATTTGAGACCCCATCATCTTAAGAGTTTCTGTTTAAAATAAAGCTTGTTCGTCAACGAAACGGACTTATATTGAGTTTCCAGCTTCAACTAAGCTGTCACGAGTGATTCCTCATCTAGCTGTCAGCTTCAAAACCTGAAAGTACCCAGCTATTAGCCTTTGCTTCAAGTTCCTTCCCATCTATGTTATCCATGCCTTCCGACTTCTTTCGATATAATGCCTTTACCATACCTTGCTGCATTAATAGATCGTTTGCCCAACTCAGCCATAATTTGAAATTCGCAGTTCCATTGAACTCGACCACATTGAATTTCGCAAAGAAACCCCAGACAACATAAACATGGCTCTGATACTAGTTGTTGTACAAAACGTGAACAAGAAAATCTGAAAGAAGAAAAATAACAATAAGATCGACACTAAAAATTTAAGTTCTTCGACAATGTGCAGTTGTCCATTTTTATATGAGCTACCAAATCAATAGATTACTATATTATTCACATAGCTCTTCATTGGATTAGAATCTTAATGAACGTTGAAATTGTCAGTCAATAAGTTTGTTTGCCACGATAAATTCCTTAATTCCATGGAGTATACTAATGGTCCGTTTGACGGGACTTTTGCTTTTGTTTCATGTTGAAGAACTTTTGGAGAAAGCCACCTTAATTTTTGTTTGAAAATTAATTTTTAAAAGAGTTTGTTATTCTAAAAGTGTGCTTAGAGGAATCCACATTAACTCTTCTAACTAGATAAGATACTTTCATAAAATTAGCCAAATGAGTTCAAAAGCAGCTTTTGAGTCTCAAAAGCTCCTTTCGACTTTTCAAAAGCCATGCCAAATGGGCTCTAGCTTGAGAATGGATTTGATGTGTCAACCATTGTTAAGTTTAAGGACTTCCAAGTAAGTGCAATTCACTAGATCTTTAGGATAACTCTTTTAATGGACCAGAGATCAAGGGTTGTCACGAATTTGAGTAATCTAGACATAGTGTTGGGAATAAATTGCGTTGTTAGAAAGATCTAAGTCTGTCAAGAATAAACAACCACCAACACCAAGAGGAAACTTTCTTGTAAGTCCTATGCTCCTCACCCGAATATTCATGACCTATTCTCATAGTTCTAGCAATTAACTACCCAATTAAAATTAAATTTTGGGGAAAATGTATTTTGGAATAGTAATTTATTTAAGAACTAGTCAACATTGAATATGTGTTGCACGTTACTATAAAATACTTTATAAATGATGTAAAAATAATATTCGAATATGCGTGAATGTTAATTAATTTAAAATTAATACCATGGAATATATACGTGACAATGAATGTTAAATTATTTATTTAATTTCCAATTACGTAAATCTGGTTGTTAATTAGCATATATGAACGTAAATAATGAAATGCATTCTTGAATGTGAGATTTTAATTAACTAATAATTATAATTAATAACACTAAAATGCATAAATGAATATGAATACTAATTATATGAATGTGACTGTTAATTAATTGAGAATTAATAACGGAGAATTCATACATTAATGAAAGCACACATGTAAAATGAATTGTCAAATGCACATGTACATTGATGATAACTAAATTGTTAAATAAATTAAATACAAATTGAAAAACAAAAAGTAAGGTGATATTGAAATAATTGAATTATAGTAATGCTAGAATCGTCAAAAATGATTTCCACTTGATATGATAGTTAATATATCATAGATGTGTGGTTAAAAAAGAAGGAAAAATTTTGGATTCATGTGTAATATTTATTATTGAAGAATGTGTAGTTGAAATGAAGAAGGAATAAAAATGCATTTTAAATAAATTAGAGCCCAAACAGAGTGTAAAATTACAAATAAAGTCTCATTGAAATTCAAAGAAGATTTCAAGTAATTTAAAGGTTCTTCCCAACAATCTTTTATAGATCAACAACACTTTTTTAAAAAATAGGTAAATGATCCCCTCCCAAGCAACAAAAGTAAAATGCTTATGACAGTCTAAAGAACACGAAAAAAAATAAATAAATAAAAATAAAAATGAAACCAACATTTGGCACCAGTGAACTGTCACATCACTTTAGAAGAAATCCCCTAAATTCCACAATATCTTCATTTAGGCCTTGTTTAATGGACCATCTTTTCTTAAGAAAAAAGAAAATAATTTTCAATTTTGCCAAAATGTGATGTTCGGTTGCACAAATTTGGCCAAGAAAATTTTTTCCCTTCCCCCTCCCCACACGCCCCTTTTCCTTGGATTTAGGGAAAATACTTCCCACCAATTTTGGTGGGAAAGCATTTTCCAATCTGACGTTCGTCTTTTTTTTTTTTTTGCAATGAAAACAAATTTCATAATCAATTGTAAATTTTTTTCATTTTAGTGGACAATTTTCATGTAAAATAAAGTCAAACGAACACTAAGTTTTAATTAAAAAAATGATTTTTTANATTTTCATGTAAAATAAAGTCAAACGAACACTAAGTTTTAATTAAAAAAATGATCTTTTAGGAAATATTTTTTTTCCTTTTTTTTAAAAAAAAAATTTTTTGGTAAGGAAACAAATTTTATAACCAATTGTGGAAATAATTATCACTTTAATGGACAATTTACATATAAAATAAAGTCAAACGAACACAAAATTTAAAAAATTTCCATGTGGAAAATTATAACAATCAAACACGCTTAATTAACAATTCCGTGCAAAACATTTTCTAGGCAATTACTTTCCCTATAATTCATTTTTTTTCCACCGATTTTCCACCCTTGCAATCAAACGGACCATTAGTTCCTTGCCCTCTAATCTCTCAATTCAACTCTCTAATTCTTTTAGTAATTTCTATTTTTCGTTTGTGTTTTTCAAGACACCGTTTAAATTTGTTACATTTCCAATCAGGCTGCAAATTTAATCCCGATTCATATTGATATTATTTTAATAAAATAGATCGAAAATTGTCTCGTGTAAAAGTAAAAAGAAAGAGAGACACTAATGTTTGAAAAAAGTTGCAAATACCAAAGGATGAAGCTTATGTTATGCCCAGTACAGGCAAATGAAAAATAAAAAAGTTTTTTGGAAACATAAAATAATATATACTCCAGATTAGCACTCTACATATGCTATATTTACAGTTGGGATAAAGGTACAGAATAAGTAGTGCAATAATCTAAACATCGAATCTGATAAACATAAGAAGATGACACAGAGGGGATATGTACTGTCCCTACTCCAGACTGAACGATGATATTTTCGAAGAGGATTGTTGAGTTTTGCTTCTATGGCTCAATAATGAGATATTGCACACCCTAAGACAAGTAAACGTTAGCATAGATGATCATGGAAGACCAACAGAACAGATAATCACCTATGGATTATGATTTCACTCATCTCAGTTGTCACTACATCGATCCTTCCATAGATCTCCATGGATCTTGAGAGACGATAAGTTCGACCAGTTGATCAGCATCACCATGGTCGGATGGCAAGAAGATGTCATCTTCTGTTGGGAAATTATACCTTCGTCCAATAGCTCTCAAAAACTGGTAAACGTCAAACATGGTAGGCCTCTCTTTAGGATCCGTCAGCACACAACTACTGGCAACATTAAGAAACTCGGAAAGTTCATCATCATAACCTTTTCCTACCAAGAACTGATCAATTGCATCCTGAAGTTTATAGGTTCCAGAGAGCTGGAAAATCCAATCCACTATATTACCCTTAAATCTTTCGGGGTCTTTAGCCACCTTGGTCGGTCTCTCACCTGTTACTAACTCAAGAAGCACGACCCCAAAACTGTAAACATCCCCTTTTGGAGTGGCCAGCAATGTTCTAAAATATTCTGGAGCAACATATCCCACGTTCCCAAATTCACCATTTACACGAGTACCTAAATGAGCTCCGATGGAATTCATGAGACTAGCAAGTCCAGAATATAATATTTTGGGTTCACAATCAACATCCAGTAAGATGCAGTTGGAACTTATGTTTCGGTGGATAATATGAGGATTGCAGATGTGGTGTAGCCACATTAATCCTTTCGCTGTCCCAATTGCAATTTTGAGCCTTAAAAGCCAATCCATAGGTTCGTTCCCGTCTTTCAAGTGTAGTTTATCATGGAGGCTGCCGTTGGACATGTGCTTGTACACTAAAAGTCTCTCCTCCTTAGTCGTGCAGAATCCTAGAAGTGGAACCAAGTTGTTGTGTTTTACATTTGCTAGTGTAGCCATCTTAGACGAAAATTCGCTGTTTGAGTATCGAGTACCCTGCAATCTCTTCACGATGAGGCATGTGCCATCTTCAAGTACTGCCTTGTACATTGTTCCAGTTCTTCCTAACCCAATTATATTCTCTTTACTGAAGTCATTAGTCACCTTCATGAGATCACTCAATTTAATTTCAGAAACTGAGTTCTCGAACATCGAAAGCTGAAATCAGGAAACATGACTATTTGTGATTCCTTGTAAGGAAAATATAATTACGAGAAGCAAAAATTCATATAGTTAGGAAGCGACACCAAAAGTATGAAATTCAGCAAGTACTTAAATTTTGACAAATAAAGCACACCGCTCCCCAATGTAATGTATCATTTTTGCCGTTGAAGTTCCTAAAATTCAATTTTTGGTGCACATTGGTCAACGGGAGGAAACTATCAAGCATTCCTTTTCCATCACATAGTCACTTACTTTGCTCACGATAACATGTTCAAGGGTTTTTCCCCCCGCCTTTTGATTGTTACTGAGGGAATTGGAGTTGGTTGGCTAAAATAACACTCAAATAAGCAAGCGAGTGTTTGACAGGAAAAAGAAAATGAGATTTTCATCATGAAGGGACCAATGTACACTGAATATGAAAGTTTAGGGATCTACAGACCAGAAAAATTGATTGGGATCCAAGTGCTTTATTTTTGTAAGTTTGAGGACTGTAGCAACAAATATCCCAATAATTATTATATATGTAGAGAGGAGAAATCCCAATAAAATGTAAATGTATATCTTGCCTTGATGGCTTTGGCATCCTTGATACTCTTTGCCCATTTGTTGCCCATAGGATCTTCTTCCTTCTTCTTTCTGGACGCCTTACGCAAATAGAAGAACATTCCTATCCAAATGCCAATTCCAACAGCGGAGCCTGCAAAAGTCGCCCCAACAATGACTGCAATTTTGGTTTTCTTTGAAGAATCTCGGCAAGGAGGCAAAGGATTTCCACATAGTCCTGCATTATTCTCATAGCTCTCTGCCGCAATAGAAGCATTTATAAATTGTGGAACTTGGCCAGTCAATTGGTTGTTAGCCACGTTAAATGTCTTCATTCGAGAGAGTAGACCAATCTGAGCAGGGATTTGTCCAGACAACTGGTTGTTGTCAAGTTTAAGGACATTCAAAAAAGTGCAATTTGCAAGATCCACAGGGATCTCTCCGGATAACTGGTTGGAAGAGAGATCAAGGCTTGTCACATATACAAGTAACTTAGAGATATTCCTAGGAATATTTCCATAAATCGTGTTATTAGAAAGATCTAAGCCTGTCAAGGATGAACAACCTGCAACACCAAGAGGAAACTCGCCCTTAAGTCCCATATTCCCAAGCTTAAGATTCAAGACCCTGCTCATGTCTGGCTTCCAGCATTCAACCCCATTAAACTTACAAATGAAGCCTTCAGTATTGTCATTGAAATTCCAAGAAGATTTCAGGTAATTAAAAGGGTCTTCCAAAGAATCTTTTATAGCTCTGAGGCAATCAACATCACTCTGAGAAGAGTAGGTAAAGGATGCCCTCTCAAGCAACAGAAATAAAATGCTTATAAGAGTTGAGAAAACCCGAAAATCCCATGTCATCCTTACAAAAAAAGCAGTCATAACCCACAAAAGAATGATTCTACAAACCTGAAACAAATCCAACTTTCAACACGAACAGATTTAAAACTCAACACCAACATTCTAAAAGCTTTCAGCAGAGTAAGCAAGATAATTAGAAATTAATGTAATGACCCACATTATTTTACACGGCAAAATGTCATATTACTTTTTTTTAAAAATCCTATGAATACCCCCGAATCTCATTGCATTCCCACAACTTCCTTGCTGTAATCTCTCAGGTATTCTCGAATTCTCTCAAATTAACTCTGTTAATTCTATTACGTGTTTTATTTTTTGTTAAGTTCTTTATGACGTATTGTTTAAATTTGTCGCAATTGGCACTCAAACTACAATATTTTTTCCCATTCACACTTGTTATTGTTTATAATAAGACGGATCCAAGATTGTCTAATGCTAGTGCATTTTTTGTTTCTTAGGAGTTCAGTTTATTTGGCAACTCAGAATGAAACTAAAACTTAGAAGAAGAATCTCCCAGCTCAGAACCTCATACTTTAGGAGTTGATGACTGAGATATGAAAACATCCTCTTGAAGGGGTAAAATGGTTTGTTCAAGAGCACCATATCTCGTTAGAGATAGATTGTAGGAGCGAAAAGGACGGTCTGGTTAGTAGATTGTTCCTCTTTACATCCAAGCTAGTCCATGTTTTTTCCTCTTCTACTTAATTTTCTTTCTGTTACTTTTTTTTGGAACTTTTTATGCCATTTTTTACAACTGAAAAAATCAGGTACCCCTTGTTGTAATTTCCACAATAACTCAAGGAAAAGAAAGAACCATAAATCTTTGTTAAAGATAATTGTTATGATATGACTCAAATTCCATGTGATTTGAAAGTTTGGTTTGTGGAGGAAGCCTAGATAATTTTGGTTGGAAGTCCGATTTGATGACGGATCAATTTTCATCAAGGATCAAGAATTTAATTGGAAGGACTTTGGAATGATGAAAAACTCATTTTGGAAAGTTCGGAGCTGAGACCGTGTGCCTAGGCCCCATGTCTGGGAGCCATGGCGCCCAAGGAAGCAAAAAGAGGACAGCAAGTTGGCTTTGGGGTGCCAGCCCTGCGCGGGGACGCCGAATACGATGCCTGGGCCACCTGTTCGGGTAGAATCTACGATTCTTGCATTCTACTTATTCAAAAGACCCAAATTGGGCTCCTATATACTTCACAGGGTTTAGACTTTTCATAGGCTCTCCAGTAACAATAACATCATTGTTGTATGCATTAGAAACTTGATAAGATTGTTTAGATCTAGATTGAGAACATGAATCTTATAAAAAAAAATTTAATTTCTTGGTATATCCTCCCCTTCCCGTGGATCTCCCAAATTTGGGTTCCACATAAGTCTTGTGTTTCTGATTCATTATTTTCATATTGCTCATATTATTCTCGCCTTTAATTTGGTCTGGTTCTCAACAATAACGAAGCCCACCAGCAGAATTATGTATAGTAGAAACGATAAAGAACTCTGAAATACACACATATATACAGATATGTTCATATGGAAACAACAACAAAAAAGAAAAATGCCTAACAAGAGAATTCTATTTACTCACTTTAAATTGAGTGTGTGTTTCCCTCCCTTTCCTAGGATTGGAAATCCTGGATTTGAATCACTGCTTTTCTTACTCTTGCTCTTTCTTATCCGAGAGATGATTCCCAAAGAAACAAAAAACAAGGAAAAAGAAAAGATAATACCAGGGAGAGTTAAATGTGAATGCTTAAATATTGATGTCCAGTGGGAGCTTGGGAGGAGACCGGGAGACTAAATGGTGACGTATTATAGAAGTAGGTGAAGACTGGATTCCAAGCAAGCAACAGAAGAGGACAGCGCAGTATGGGCAAACGACCAAAGAGCTTGACTTTGAACTTAGTCTTTACTGCATTTTATTACTTATAACTTATAAGTAAAAAATAAGCTTCAAAATAAATAAGTTACATGAGAGTTATCAATGACCATACTGTCAAAATAAACAAAAATTAATTCAATTTTTTTTATTTTTCTGTTGAATGCAATGAGCTTGTGGAAAGTCATAACTAATGACTTCTTAGCAAATTTTCATTGGTTTGTTATTGCTCCATAGGTTTTGGATTTTCTTTTCTTTTTTTTTTTTTTTTCCTGTAGGTCTCTTTCATAATATTTGAAAATCAACTTAACAAAATAATAATCAAATTGAAGTCCGATGGAGTTAGTGAATATGATTAGAGAAGATAAGTGATTATATAATGCTAAAGAAAGTTGAGGATTTCTATCTGTGGGAAGTTTCAAGCACTGGAAATGAATGTCTAAAGATCTAAACTTCAATAAGATTTGATAAAGTATTCGGGTGCTAGATTAGGCAAAGTTTGGATATCACGTTTGCAAATTTTAAATTAATGCTAAGTTTGATGTTATCTATATCTACTATTCGTTATATATAAAATGTTGGTTACACCGACATCACTTTTTTTTTTTTAAGTCGTGCCACTTTTAGGGAATTAAAAGTCATCAATCCTTCCTATATTGATGTTGTCATATTCTTTGCATAGAGAAACCATCCCTTACACTTCAGAAAATATTTCTTAACTAAAAAAAGTTTTTCTTAGCCAAATCCGTACTTCATCTTCTATTTTATCCTCTATCTTCGAAGAATTTTGCTATTTGCGCAGGGCCACATGTACAAGGCCACATTTTCGAATAGGAGTTATGTGAATGGAAGTCATTTCAAGTGAAAATTTCATTATAGTGGAATGATGTATTAATTAACAATTTGTTGTGATCGAGATCCATGTCAAGATTGCGACACGTACTTGTAAACAGGTTCTTTTTGTTAACTTCAAGTTGTTAATGAATCTTTGAAACTATTTCATGTTCGAGATATCCTGAATTTTTACGGTTGTAGTTTGGTAATGGAAGTTGATGCCATTTGTTTGAAGGCTGTGGAAGATGCAACAAAGTTTGGGAATCCAGTCAAGATAAAGGAGAGATTTGTCACAAAGAATTTGATCATAAAGACCGTGTCAAAGCTTAATTGATAATCAAACATCTATGAAATTATTGCGTTATAGAAAAAGAAGGATACCTCAAAATGAAGGAACACGTACAACTTCTGAATAGATTATTACAATTGTTACGGATTACAATAAAGCTGCAAGTACAGGGAATTTCAACATAATAGAAACAGGGTGCTGACATGACAACACCACATTGGCCTTTTTTGTTTTGTTTTTTTTTTTTTTTCCTTCCAATGCAAATCCACCAAGTGTTTTTCATGATAAAATTCTGTTGAAATTCCATGTACTTGTAGCATTACTCAATTAGAATTAGGCATGTCAAAAGTTTTTGAAGCTCAATAGTTAGTTAGGATTATAAAATGCATGCCATCGCCAAACGGTAAAAGTAATCAACTATAACATGACTTAAAATATAGGATTTCTCAAATTTTACTGTCGAAAAACTACAGAGACTATAACTTGCCGTATTTTTTCTTTAAACTTCTATTAACGTGCGTTTGATTGCGAGTATGAAATTTGTATAAAAATTATTAATTAAATGTATTTTTTTGATTTAGTTTTTCAATTTAAAAAATATTATACTTTTATATTTTTTATTGGTGAGTAGATGAAAGAGATGTGATAGACGAAAGAGATAAAGAAATGTGATAGACGAAAGAGATAAAGAAATAGTGAAATTACCTGAAAAGTAATAATTACACATTCCTATATTTTTTTAAAAAATATATAATCACATGACCAAAAGTTGGAAAGTATTTTCCATGAAAAAAATTGTCAATCAAGCACCCCAAAAGTAAGAATTTGAGTGAAAAAATGACATTATTTTATGAAAAACAAAGTTGTACTTCTACAATGTAGAACAAAAATCAATATCTTTCAATTTACTCCTATTTGTGTGAATTATCCTAATTTTTAATACGCGTGCAATTTATTTGAGCTATTCAGAATTTATAATTCCCAATATTTTCAAATTTCACTAAACTATCGAACCTGTAATAAACAATTTGCTCAGAATCTAAGTCCTAAGAGGAACTTTTCTCTTGAATTGACCTCGGTTTATTACTCCTATTTGCTAAAGCTCAACTACGAGTAAAATACGGATGGCGAGGTAGGGTGTTGTTCCAGTCGATAGAAAAAGACTACCGGAACAAATTGGGAAAAACTTTGCATTAATAGACAGAGGATCATTATCAACATGGGAAACAGAAAACTTCCGGTGACAAACCTTAAAATGGGATCAATGTATGATAAAATTTAAATATTTCTTAACAAAGCAAATTAAAAGTTGTTTCTACCCGTCCAACCTTAGCGAAGTTTGGTCTTTTTTGGTTCCTGGACTTGAAGTGCTGCAGATATCTTCTTCCAGCAGTATATGATGATGATTGTGGGGATTAGAATCCAAAAAGAATTAGCTGTAATGTAGTACGCGTAGTAATAATACATGCTTGCAGCAAAGTTGTCTCCTTCCAAGTATGACGTGATGAAATATAAAGCAGTTCCATAGAGCTGCCCCAAAGAAATGGCCAGTTGAAGTGTGTACCTATACGACTTTTTTGTTGCAATAGCATACCTGCCAGAAGGTAAAACCATAGTAGAGTAAGATCGGGAATGAGGGGTAAGAAAAAGGCACGTAAACACTAGGTCCAGATCAAAAATCTGTAAGAAGTTTTTCTCTGTCAGTTATAAACACTGCTAGTATCCCAACTTACAGTGTTGTTTCACTTTGGCAATTGAAAATTTGTTTCGCTCCAAATTAGTAAATGAAGCAACATTATTGTTATAATTTAATCAATTTGTCTACCCTGTACTAACAAGAATGTCAAAGTGATGGTGGTGGCAATGGCAGTGTGGGGGTGTTGGGGGCGGGCGCTGCAGTGTCTTAACTGATATATTAATAGAAGATTAGTGAATGTTTTAGAACAAAAATTGTTTACTACTAAAGTGATACAGTATAACAATTCACTTGCAATATAAAAGACATTGCAGTTTAGAACGTACACAGCGAGGAGGCAGGCTGGACCCTCTACAACGGTAGTAATCCCTTCAACAGTAACGACACATGAATCCCTTGCTGCATACCTTGAATCACCTTTGCTGTATTCTTTCCCTGCCATGTTCATTTTTTAAGCAAAATGTACAACTGGAGGGTTTGTATCATTTCAACTAGGGAAAAAACTAGGGCTGTCCGTGGGTCGGTTCGGTTCGGTTCTGAAGATACCCGAACCGACCCAAAACTTTCGGGTATTTAATAAATGGACCCGTCGGGTCCAAATATAATTATGGAACCGTTCGGGTTCGGTTCCGTTCGGTTCGGTTCGGTTCGGGTCGGTTCGGTTCCGTTCGGTTCCGTACCATAATCAAATTTTTTAATATTTACAGCAACACTACATAAATACAACTAATGACATTTCATTCGTAACTTTTACAAATTAACATAGCC